GACCTTTGCCATCCGTCCCAGATAGGGTTTTCCCAGAACCAGGATTTCATCATCACCAACCGGGCAAGTTAAGGGACAGAAAAATCTTAAGTTCCATGCGGAAGATTTTTAGGAAGTTCGTGATAACAAGTGAGCCATCTGGACCAACTTTCCCTCTGTGCCAAAGAAAGCCTCCGATTTAAGCGTGTGCCATCACAAACAAATCTGTCTCTGTGCTCTGAGCTCTGCCCTCAGGTGCTGACCTTCAGCCCCCGCCGTCAGGGCAGCGGATCTTACCCTGATCCAGGAGACCAGCCTCGTATGGAAGGTGGCCGTGGGGTGACAGCACAGATTTGTGCTTGGGAGGACCCATCCCTCCCATCGCTCACTGCTCCCTGTCCCTCTCAATACGTCTTTCTACCCCACACATTCTGGAAGGAATGACCAAAATGCGGCTTGGACCAAATGACCAGCCTGTCCTTTGATGTACCCTCGGGTCCCACGTACATCACTATCTGGCCTTTGTCCCACTAGGCCAGTTCATGCACGAGCCGAAGATCCGTATCTTCAATGAGCGGCCTGGAAAGAACGCCGAGAAGCCAGAGGCAAGCTTGGAGGTCAAAGGACATAACTTGGTTGTCACCAGGTAAGCACCATAAAGTGCCAAGACCGATTAATCTGTTCTTCATGCCTTCGTCCATTAGAAGCCCTATGGGGACAAACTGGATAATTGAAAAAGCGAGTCAGAGGAGGAATCATAAAAACAGCTCTGTACCATAGTGCTAGCGAAAGGCTGTGTATTTATATTAAAGCCAGAACTTTCTTTTCGAGTATGAATCTACTGAGTGCATCTCTGTGTAGCTTTTCTCACACAAACCACATCCATACGCTTTATTTTGAAGTGAGAACTTAGATACTTGTAAAGCATTCTGAGTGTAAATTCTTATAAACCTTTTTAATTTTTCTCCGTCTTTTACAGTTATCTCACCAATGCCCAATTCGGTATCATTTTAAAGCATGTTCTGCCTTTTTAGAGATTTTACGAAGCGGCCAATTTGGCTTAAGCAGAAATGACTCTTTGCAAGCAAAGGTCATTGGCTTCCATGCACTTCGTTAAGCCATAAAAGCACAATCAAAATTAAACCATAAAATGACAGTAATAAGTGCCACCACCCAAATAGATCCATGAACTAAAACCATGAGCTTCTAGCGAGTATACTGCCCAACAATTATTGGTTTACTAGAGATGAGTGTGTTAGCCACAGGCGTTAGCGAGCACATTTTATAGATCTGGTGAGTAGTTAATAACAGTACGATGTTATCTGAGGTTGGGATACAAGCATCTACTGGACGATAATGACAGAAGGTAAATGCTGGGCCTCAGTTTCCTCTACTGCAGGCCCCTGTGACGCAGAACTGGAATTGAGTTGACCTGTGGGCCGTGTGCAATTATATATATTTTAAAGCTCATTAATGGCAACTTGCCATATAGCTTTTCAAATCCTGGGCTTCTCTGTCCTTTCAATGAAAGACACGAATTTAAACACGCATCCATAAAGGTGAGAGGTGTCTCAGATTCATTCTGCAGGTAACATGTGAGGTCAGCCAAAAACACTTCAGGGTTTTGTTCTGTCCTTCTTTCCAAGTTAATTTGCGTCCTTTACCTTGCTGGGAAAAGTCCTTATCGGTCAATCTCTGGAAGGGTTATTTGAATTATTTAAGGACACACTGCTTATTCTGTCCTTGCAACACCAAGCCCCCGACTCTGATATTTCCTACGACTTGGGGAGCTGGGATGGGAGGGGGCGGGCAGATACAGAGCTAGAGGGGACAAAGGACAGCCACGGGGAGTGCGTGTCTCCTTTGAGATGCACAGGCTGGCACGCGTGGGTCTGTGTCCTCACCGTATGCGCCATCTTCCTTGCAGGGGAATACAGAAGGACTACCGGACAGAGCGAGTGTTGGGGACAGATGTCCCCTGCTGGTTTGTACACAGCAGCGGGAAGGGGTTCATCGATGGCCACTACAAGGACTACCTGGTGCCTCAGCTCTACAGCTTCCTCAAACGGCCTTAGAGGCGTTTAGCTTTGTATAATCGCATGTATAAATATATGTTTTTTCCCCGCCCCTTTTGCAGTCATCCTTCAGTTCGAATACGTTTAAAAACTAAGCGGTTTTCATGGTGGTTTATAAAGCCTGTTAACTCATTCGAAGAAAATAAATGCTTTGCAAAGAAGCTTTAGGATTTTGTGGCGTGTCCAGGTGCTAAGCCATGTTCGTCAAGGCAACGCGAGAGACAGCTGCTCTGGGGAGTCACGCTGGCATCCGGATGGACCCTAGGTCTGGCGTCTGCTGTCATGACGTCGCCGTTAAGCGTTGGGTCCTCCACTTTGCAGATGGATTACATTTTCACGTTGTCAGTTAGGGAGGAGATTCAGTGGAAAATGAACAAGGGAAGTAAGTGACTTGATCCTCACTGTTCCATAGCTGAGTATACTAAACGCCCTGTCACCGCTGCTGATCCCCGGGGACTGTGATGGCCCAACATGCTTAGCCAAGAGTCCCTCCAGAGTGTTGGCCTTAGAGACATGTTTTAGTCCATGAGGCCTGTATAAGTCAGGGTTTTGCAGAGAAACAGTACCAATAGGAGCTAGATACATATATAGGCAGAGTGGGGTGATGGTGCAGGGGACCCAGGGGAAGATGTTCTAGCTCAAAGGCCATTAGGCAGGAAGATCCAATGTCGTGGATGAAGTTCAAAGGCAGTCACTCGGGGGAGGGTCAGTTTTTTGTCCAATTCAAGGCCTTCAACTGATTGGATGAGGCCCACCCATACTCATGAGAGCAATCTGCTTTACTCAGTCTACCTTTTTAACTGTGTTTCATCCCAGACACACAGTATAACGTTTGACCAACTCTCTGGGCACCCCTTGTCCCATCTAAGTTGACATATAAAATAAGCTATCACAAGGCCTCAATCGACCAGCCAATCATTCTCCAAATAAAATCTAATATTATTGGGTAGGTGTCTTCTGATTAAATTATAATCCTGTAACAGTCTTACCTCCCTGACGTGATTCTAAGATCACCCTGGAGATTCGGTTGCTGCGAAATTCTTCACATATTTAAGACTGCTCAGGATATTTTCTTGGATGGCTTCCTATACACAGTACTGACATTACTAAGCAATTCCTGAGAGTAATGTCATTTAATTTTAAACCTTATATGATTAGATGTATTTCAAAGTACATTAGTAAGTTATGTCCTACAAAAGGCTAATGATATTTATAAGGCAAAATAAATAAACCACAAGTTCAAAGTGAAATCGGGTGACTTTATTGTGTCAGTTAGTGGATTTTGGTGATACAGTCCAAGTTCTTACCCATCGCAATTCTGTGCTTTCCTTTGGTTATTTGTCAGATATAGTAATCATCTTTAGCATTTATTCAAAGCTTTTCCTAAGTACCGATCTCAACGGTTTCCATTAAACCATTGACGATATGTATGTCTTTTAGTCAGAAAACTGAGAGCCTAAGTTTGAGAGAAACCAGACTCCTAGCTCAGATCATACCTCTGTCGTAAGTTTATGTTCGTTTGTGTTTTCTTAAGAGTTGGAAAACTGGCAATCCAAAGAAACAAGTCAAAAGGGGGAATTAAAAAGTATTTCAATGTGTGGTAAAAATGAACAATGAATCAGGAGTTACTTTAGTACTACAAGTACGAGGTCTTATGAAAACCATTCCACATGCTTTAAGTGTCACTTGATATCATAAGTGGCATCGTCTCTTCTGCCTGATCCCAATCGGAAGTGACTCCAGAGACCCAGTTGAGACCCAGCCCTGATGAAGCTGCTCACTCTCTGATCTCTCTGCACGTAAAGCTCGAGTCTGTTCCTTTTCAGTTATGTGAACTATAAACTTCTTTATTTTTTTTGGCGGAGGGTGGTGCATAAGCAAATGTGAGGTGGTTTCGTGTCTTAAGCATCCCTGAATAATATACTGCTCTGCTTATTTAAAAATAAATGCATACTTCAGCACTGCTGGTGGGCTTGTAAGTGGTGCAGCCGCTTTGGAACAGACTGGCAGTTCCGCAAAACGCTGAACAGGGTATCACGTGAGCTACGGTGTTGACACTCGGCCGTTCCACTCTTGGGAACTGAAAGCACGCATTCACACAGAATCTCGTACACAAATGTTCACTGCAGCATTATATATCATTGCCCCAAAGTGAAAACAACCAAAATGTCCATCAAATGATGAATGGATTTTTTAAAATGTGGTACATCCATACAGTGGAGTACTACTCAGCATTTTAAAAAAGGAATGCAGTAAAAAAAAAAAGAAAAAAAAAGAATGAGTACTGACACAGGCTACAACATGAATGGACCTTGAAAACATGATGCTACGTGAAAGAAGCCAGTCACAAAGATGTCACATTGACTGCATTTATATGGAAAGTCCAGAATGGCTGATCCTTACAGACAGGAAGTGGATTAGTGGCTGCCAGGGACTGGAGGGAGAGGGCGAATAGGGAGTGACTATGGGTACACGGCTTCTTCCTGGGGTGATAAAAATGATCTAAAATCAGATAGTGGTGACAGTTACACAACCCTGTAAATATACTGAAAACCACTGCAATGGGACACCTTACATGGGTGATAATGCATCGTGTGTGAATTATATCTCAATAAAGCTGCTATTCAATTAGCTTGACTTTTTAAAATGTAATTATATTTAGAGTTCGACATTACTACTTTACGACTGAAAATATAAATTTAGAGCATATGAAGAATTTCTTCTAATTATATGATTCTAAATTGTCTTATATAAAACACTTTACAATAATTCTTTTAATAAAGATTAAAAACTCAAGGAAATATTACAAAACAAAAGTAACAAGGATAAATTTACATCGTTTTGATACTTCATGAGACATAATTAGATTTTTCTGTAAGTTTAGCTAAACGGCTATACAGTAATATTTAAATAAATCCGTTCGTTTATACAAAAGAATCACCCTAACACAGTAGAGTCTCATAATGCCTTGGCGAACACCAATTTGATGCTTTAGGATTTTAATACGTTGTTAACAAATTTTCAAACTCAAGCAAGTTTAGAAATGTCTTCATATTGAATTCCTTCCACTCTGCGACCTTTTAAAGGGCCCTACAAATTAAAATAATTGAAGACAAGGTTAAAAACACGCATGCACTTAAAAGGCAAGAAAATGAAACTACACTTAAGAATATAAGTTTTCCTTTTCCATATCCCTAAAATGCCATTAAGGTAGCTAACATTGCTCAATGTTCATGAATTTTATAAACATCCTATGGCATTCTCATCGGGAACTACCGCAGGTGCTTCAGTGATGCCTGACGAGTGTTCGGTGAGATGCCGTGGCAAGGCCCGCTGGCTGTTCAGTCTCCCCTCTACCTCCTGCGCAACCAGTTAGGTTTCCTAGCTGCCCTGTGGTTAGGTGTGGCCACACGTGCAGCAGCTCGCAGAAGGGAACAGCAGTGACGGGTGCCGCCTCCAAGCCCAAGTCACGCTGCCGTCTACCCCAATCTGAGGTCCCCCGCTCGGTCTGCCTGAAGCACAGGACATAAAGACTGTAACAAGAGCCACTTGTTGAACATGGTAGAGCCACAGGTTGGAAGATCCCTGGCCTCACAAATATCTCCCTTGACCAGAGCTGTTCCCCCACCAAGAACACTCATGTTGGACTTTTAAAATGAGAAGTAAACTTATATTATGTTTGCACCATTATCAATTTGAGGATTTCTTTTTTTTTCTTTTACAGCAAATATTATTTCAGGCAATATAAATACTCAAACATGCTTGTCCAGTTTAGCTGTGACAGGCTGGTTTTTACAAAAAATGTGTCCAACTTTAAATATGTTTTCATCTTTTCATATCCAACAGAAAGGGAAAGGGGACAACTAGATACTGAAAGACAGTAGCTGTCATAAGAGCCGACACAACCTGGGAACCCAGAGGCTAAGAATACGGGCTCTGGAACCAGACCGCCCGAGTTCAAATCTCATTTTTTAGAGACTCATGACTTCCCTTTAAAATGCCATTCTTTTAATATATAGTAACGATCGTATTCAAAGGAAATAAGTTCCCAGGTGGAGCAGGACCCAGGCTGAGCCTTGCCTTATCAAGTCTCAGGGTCTATGGTCCATGACACTATGATGACAGCACAAGGCTGGGGACCGAGAAGGGAGCCAGACGTTTGGGTTCATTAAGGAAACGGCTAAAAAAAAAAACTGAGGCTGTTTTTGAACAATTTGTTAGCATTTTAAAATCTGCTTAATAAATGTATAAATTTCAAATGCTATGATACTGATACTAAAATTTAAGATGCCAGAAAAGCATTTTAAAATCTGCTTAATAAACGTATAAATTTCAAATGTTATGATACTGATACTAAAATTTAAGATGCCAGAAATGATCAAAAAAAAAAAATAAGAGAAATCGCTGGAAAAGTTCATGTGTGTCACGGCAGCAACTTGGAGAAAACGTGGGACATAAGAGACAGACACGTGCACATACGAACGCATTTTTTCAAAGATATGGAGGCAGACTGCAAACGAAAAAGAAAAAACCCCAAAACTAGCAGGTGAGTTTCCTCCGCCCAAAGCACACGCTGCTTTGCCATCAGCCAGAAAGGCGCTGTGTGTGGGTTTCCCCCTCGGCTCTGGCTCAGCGCAGCTCTGCACGCGATGAGAGCTTCAGAAAGGAAGATGACAGCGGGGAAAGAAAGCAGCTCCTGAAAATCACACGCACTGCGACCCGGTGGTATCTGGACAGAGCCGAGGACACCCTCAGGGACCGGCGGTTGCTTCGTGTGTCCGAGATGAAAACGTGAAGCGGGTCTAACTTGGGTAGTATCGTGAAATTTAAAAACGGAGGAGGATCGGTCAGCCATGGAAATAGGACGGGCATCTCCCATGACCTTAGCCTGATGGAGTCAGAGAGAAAACGTACTGACTTTTAAAAAACTCCATCTGTTCATTCGGTCAGGTTGACGAATTCCTCAGCGACAGGTGAGATTCCTTTTTTCCTTTTTTCCCCTTATAGTTTATGTCAGTTAGGGAGTTTCTGGGTTAGTTTTGTCAGGAACAGGAAAAAAAATGCTTAATTTACTTCAAATGTGATATCTCTCAATTAAGGACCTAAATGTTTTTTTCCAGAAAACCTTCCTCAGACACAATATATTCCCTACCCTATCTCCAGAGGGTTTAGGAGCCTATGAACCTTGAGATAAAACATAAAATTTGGCAGTTTAGTGTAATTTTTTGGAGAGTTTAGAACTTTCATCAGACTCCCTAAGGAGTCTACAATCCCCCGCAAAATACTAACACTTACTGGATTGGAGATGAAAGTCTTTCGTTTAGACATAAGGATACATAATGCATAGTTCAGAGTTCTGAAGAGAATCAGGAGGTGAGCACAAAGCACGTTTTAAGTCCTTCCTTCTGAAGCTGGCTGAGGTACCGACCACCTCGGCCTCATGCACAAGCAAGTCACTGAACAATTGGTTCAAAATCAATAAGTAATTTCTGTACATCAGTTTTCTTTTAAACTATTATTTTATTGATCTCTGCTATCTTAATCCTTTATGAAAGAAGGGGGAGCATTTTAAAAAATTGAGCTCTGTGGCTTTTTCCCCATTCATTGTGACTATACATTCCCTACAAATTACACCTTGCCAAATTGTGTTTTCTATTAGATGTGAAGGAAAAAGTCAAGATATGAAACTGTACGTACTATGTATATGATTTTATAAAATATGAAGACTGGAAAGGAACAGACCAAAATATTAATGGGGGTTATTTGGCCGGGGGTTATGGGTAATTTAAAAATGTATTTATATTAAGTGGTATTTTTCAGATTTTACATGATGAGTATTGCTATAGACTGAATGTGTATCAGCCCAAATTCATATGGTGCAGCCTAATCCCAGAGTGACAGTATTTGGAGACAGGGCCACTGGGAGGTGATCAGGCCCTGGGAGCAGAGTCCTCGTGAATGGATTAGTGGCCCTATAAAGGGACCCTAGAGAGGTCCCCTATTCCTTCCACCCTGTGAGGACACATGAACCATGAAACAAGCTCTTGCCAGACACCAAATCTGCCAGGGCCTTGATCTTGGACTTCCAGGTCTCAGCTAGGAGAAAAGCATCTCTGTTGTTTCTAAGCAGCTCAGTCTCTGGTATCTTGCTACAGCAGCCCGAACGGACTAAGAAACACATGCGCTTCCTTTTTAATTAGAAAATAAAATGCTTAAAAAAAAAAAAAAAAAATTAAAATGCTGTAGCAATGGTAGTCACTGGAGAAAATAAGCTTACAGATTTCCAAAGAGGAGAGAAGGCAAACAAAAAAAGCCAAACACTGAGACAAAACAAAGACCAAGCCGATGAAAAAGAACCACAGCATATTTTGAAAGCATTGTGAAATTTGTCTTTGTTTAAACGTACTTACAGTTTCAATGACTATAGTAGCGGAAAAGGTCTTCTCGTTGATGGATTCTAAGGTCCCCTCATTTCCTCTGTAGCCGCCATTTAAAACGAGGATTCTCTTTCCTACGACAGAAAAGAATATGACACGGAATGTAGAGAAAATGTCTCCTTTTTCCTTCTACTTTGTTATAGCAAAATGCAATTTCAGTGAATAAATAAAACAAAAACCAAACTCTTCTCTTAGAAGTTCTGAATCATTTAAGAACTCTGTAATATTCTAAAGTACAGTTTGTAGACACTTTGATAACTGTCACAGTATGACTTCTCGTTTTTCCCCCATGTATTTGTCAAAGGGAAATGTTTTAATTTTAGATTGCAAAGTGTATAAGGTACTTGGAGGAAATGCTCAGAGTCCAGAAATAATCGGAAAAACATTTGCTTACTTTGTCTCTTTTCAAAATCATAAGATGGCTTGGCAGTTTCATAAAAGTTTAACGCACATGCCTGTCATACGACTAAGCCACTCTAGTTCTGAGTGTCCTCCCAATAGAAATCGTGTCCATGAAAGACTGGTATGTGAATGTTCACAGCAGTTTTATTTGTAACAACCAAAAACTATAAATGACCCAAACATCTATCAACAGGTGACCAGAAAAACAAACAGTCGTGGAAGCAGACTGATGGCTGCCTGGGGAGAGAGAGCGGGAGAGAGGAGGGTGGGAGGGAAGGATTATAACGGGGAATGAGGAAACCTTAGGGGAATGACGAAACAGTCATTATCTTGATTACAGGGATGGTTTCACGGGAGTATTCACGTTTTAAAACTTATCAAATTGTATACTTTATACGAGTCTGGTTTATCGAATGTCGATTATCTCTAACTAAATATGAAAATTTTAAGCCCTTAAATGAGTTTTATTTCAAAGAGAAAGAATAAAGGATCTAATAAGTGAACGTTTTAGAGACTAATATTATCGTCGTACCAGCAATGACAGCATCCCAAAGAGACCGGGCTGGAGGCAAACGACCTGACCAAAGTAGCACTGATACCAGACATGTTAGTGCCCAAACGATCGAGATCATTAAGGAAACGGAGAGGCAAAACAATACTGACTTTCACTGCCTCAGATAGCTAAATAAACATATTAATAATAACCCTAATATGATTGAATTTATCCAGATACGTCTGTGTTTTGCTTCTCAAAAAAAAAAAAAATTCCAGGAAGGGAAAATTTATTCAAGCCACGAATCGCTTCTCAGAGGACTGGTAAACTACCACTTCACCGGAAGTCAAATAGTTTTATTGGAAGTTAACGTTATTTCTAAAAAGGAAACTCGTATCTAGAACTATCAAGTAATGTCGGAAAACTGTGGTTTAAGAAACGGAGTCGCTCATTTTGTTGGCACATGCACTACGTGGTCTGCAAGAAGATTTACCTGGTGCTGGAATGACTGTTTCTAAATGGGTCTGGTCAAGTTTCAGCTTGTCTCCAGAGTCAATCATCTTTACGACAGCTGTATACTTGTCAATTACTTCCTGTCATGTAAAATCAACACTTTTATAATAGAAGAGATACGTGAACACAAATTTCAAGGGACAAATAAATAAAATGAAAACAAATGAAATGCCAATCCAAAGATAAGAGTAACTCCTATAAAGGACATTTTCTAGATTCCATACACGATTTCTCAATCTGATATATGATGAACTCGGTGCAAAGCTTAGTCGAGGTTTTCCTCTGGAAAGGATAAAAGACAGGTGATCTTCGAATACGACTTAAGAAATCTAGCGAGAGGGACCCTTTGGCACAGCTTCGAGTGCAGATGGAGGGCGACTCGTGCATGCACAGGCTGGGCGCTGGGCTGACACCACACAGGAAAAGCACAAGGGAGAAATGGACGGAGGGCTGATTTTTAAATTTTGAAACCCCACAACGGCCAAAAGACAGCCTCTCAGGAAACACGAGAAGTCCTCCTTAGAACCCGGGGGGCATAATTATGTTGCCCATCATCGACAAAGAGAATGCATCTTGCTGATCAGCACGGCGTGCACACACTGAGTGTAAGAGGCACCAGTGGGTTTTCACACACACACTACTGGCTCCCGTAAGAAAGCAGACCGAGGTTAAGCGTAAACGATGGTTGAAGATGATATATTACGAATTCAGCTTTCCTTTTATGGAACCATCGGAGACCTCAGATGTGTGTTTTCTGCTAATAGGACTTGATTTTTAAGGAATACCAAAATGGCGTGACTCAGGCACCCACCAGCCCCTTTCGCTGATTCCATTCGTGACTTCACGTTCTTACCTTAACAATGCCCTTTTTCTTATGATATTTCTCTCCGAGTTTTTTGGTTATAATTTTCACGACGATTTCCTAGGAAGTAACAACCAAAAATAAAGATGCAGAGAAAGACAAAAAATAACTTTTGTTTTACTCCTTCGTTTTAAACCACGTTCACCAAAAATTATAATAGAATGCAACTGCTCTGCTAAATGAGAAATTCTGGGGTTCTAAGCCTTCCCCAGATGGCATTTCCTTAGTAATCTTTCGTTCCTTCTTTCTCTTTTTATTCAAGTTACCAAAAGGAAAAAATATATATCTAATGGCCGATTTCCACAGTGAAGGTTTCTTAAAATCTAGGACTTTTATCTATAAATCTCAACTCTATTGATCCGCGTCTTTCATTGATAGCTTCTTTTCTGTCCTTTCAGATAAGTGAAAAGGGTCAAAGACATTATACTGTTGGTGTTCACTGCTGATAAGAACGCAGACGGCAAGAGTCCCACGGGACATGGCACTGCCCAGTGTTCTTTTGTTGCTTTGAATTTTTGATACAGGTGGGAACTCCTCCAGACTAATTCCAGCTAAAAGTATCGTCTGAGCAACTAATTCTGGAATAGGAGAGAAATCTGGGCTTACTTCATATTAACGCATTCCAATGTTGCTTCTTCCTCGTTTTCCTGATTTAAGTTAACTGTGTAAATGGCTGATAAAGAAAATTAGATCACCTCACATATTACTATATTCTCTAAAGTAATTCTACATTTGCCACATCAAGCGACTATAACAGGTACTAGATGGGCACAAGTATTTCATTAAGCCAAGCTAAAAATTCTATTAACAAAATTTCAGCAAGGACTTTGTGGAAAGTATATCCAACGGCAGAAAGACACGTCTAAGGGAAGACTATTCTTAAACCTCTGTTCTACTAAGACTTTCTAAGTAAAGCCAAATAATGCCAAAACAGCTTCTCTGATTTAGCCAGAGTATTTCTGGACAGAATTTCTCAAACGCCCTCATGGGTCCACACTCTTAAAACTTAAAGATAACTCATTACATCATGGCACTTGTTGACACTTGCTCACTGTCGACAGATCTGTTCAAAACCTGTCCTTTCTGAGTTTACAAAATGGAGCTCTCCAATCTGTGTGGGCTGAGGGCTGTTTTAACAAACGTGTTGCCCTTTTCAGAATAAGAGACACACTGAGTCATCAGAGCACTGTTGGCTGATTCTCTCTTTTAACGTGGACACTCTGTAAGGGGAACTATGAAGAAAATCTGAATAATTTACGATGTGAGAAAACTCTCGTCAGGAAATAAAACTGAATTGAAAGTTTTGGCAATGGGAAGAAAGTTTTGGGACCAACTAAAACCTGGAATGCTTTGCTTTTTTTTTTCACTTTTTGCTTTTGGTTTTCTTTTCCTTTTCAGCCAATAGATCTTAACCCAAGGGCACATATCGGATTCACCGAAGAGGCTAGTGAAACTATATGTGCCTTACCCGCAAGGAGGCTGGACGGCAGGGGTACTGAACACGTGTATTTTGACATCCCAGGGTCCGCTGTGCCCTAAGTGTCTGTCTCCACAGCATAGGTGTATGCAATACACTGTTTTGTGATGTTTACTATTATGGAGACTGAGGTAAGCGTAGGAAAAAAAATTTCTTAATCCCTCCTGGTTAAGAGCTATTGCTTTAAGCGAAATTCTTGATTACATGTTCATAAACAATATCTAAAACTAGTCATATTCAAACGTCAAGTACTCTAACGGGAAAAATAAAAATAATTCGTGGATGGTTTCTTTCCGACAGGTCCTTCCTTTACTAATCCCGACCCAGACTTCTGCTCAGAAAGGGAGTGAGGGTGACGCCTCCAGGAAGCAGCACTGTTTACGAGTGCAAAGACAAGCTACTGACTCAGACTGCCACGGACGGTCCTGGCTCGCCATGGACTAAACGGCCTCGAGGAAATTCCTCAAATGCTTCATGCCTCAGGTCCTCACCTACGACATTGGGAGAATTAACAGTAATCACCCTATAGGGCTGATATGAGAACTGACTGAAATAATTCATACCAAATGCATATTTTTTATTTAACAGAGAGAGTATTTTCATATTAAATAACTTATTTCATGATCTGTCACGTGACCCCTGGGTAGAAATGTTTTCCATCGTATAAACATAAAGTAAGATATGGAAGCCAAATTATCTTCAAGCTAGTGGAGGAAGTGTGAAGATCTGAATCAGAACTCTGGGCTTCTTGGCCTTCGAGGTTATTACTGATCTTATTTTTCAAATCAGAAATTACCTAAATAACAGACTACTTCTCATGCTCCTGTTATTGATCAAACTAGCTTAAGAATAATTAAAGTGCCTTGAAGGTTTTATGAAAACTTCACGTCTCAGTAAGTTCAGAACAGAGCATCAATAAATAATTTTAAAAAATTATTTAAAAGTTTAAAAATGATTATAAAATGATTATCTTGAAATAATAAGTAAGCAACAAAATACAAAGCTTTCCCTGAATTTGTAAATTAAAACCTGTTTTGTTTTGACAAAGGACTTAAATGGGCATTCTAAGATGTAAGCTAAAAACAAGTACTTCTGCATTTACAATTTCTGAAACTACAATCTTTTGTCGTATAGCAAAAATGGAAAATGATTGCAGGCTTAAATTCAAGGTGCCCATAAACAACTCTGGCATGAAACTCAAACAATATTATCAGCCTGTAAGCATGGGGTAGCCCTCCACTACAGACGCAGCTAATAATTAAAAATCAAATAGAAAAAAACGCATCACAGTTAGAGGGTTGGGTGTGTAATGCACACGTGGTCAAGGAGGCCAGTCGTTTACACCGAAGCTACCGGCAGCACTGACAGCGGAAGCACACGCACCGGCTGCAGCCAGTAGTCTGTTCGAGAAGCCCGTTTCTTTCCCTCTTCAATCTGTAAAACGAGATAATCACAACGTCATCTCTTTAAAAGCATTTTAAATAGCATCCTACTTAGCAAAAGAACAGCATAAAACGCCCACTTCATAGATCGATGATATCATTTATGAGCTCCGACAAATACAAATAAACATTTTTTTGCAATTAGTTTTCGATTAAAAAAACTAATGAGTTAAAAAAAATATGTGATGCAGCAAGGCCACTGCCCACAAAAGCACACACACACACACACACCCTACTCGGGGGGCGTGGGGAGGCCTCCGCTGAGCTGTGCTGCCCCCCGACCCCGCCTCCTCCCGCGTGACCGGCAGGAGCCCGCAAGCAGGCGGCGGTCCCCCGGCGCAGTGCGGCTAGGGAGGCGGTCTGATGGCAGGAGGAGCTGCCCTGTTTGGAAGGCGTGGTGCAGCCTGTGGCGGATGCGAGTGAACACGCGACCCGCAGGGCCTTAACTAAGGGGACCCCAAGAACAGCGCGCCCACGGGCCGTGGGTCTCCGCCGTGGCTCCTAAGTTGGAACCCAAAGTCCCATCAGTGGGACTGAACGCCATGCATCGGTCCATCATAAGCCTCGTTTTATTTCCTCCAACTCTCCAATACGAACGATGAACATTCTAAATTTGGCGTGTATTATAGTCAATGTAGGTAGACGTGGCTTTCCATTCTCCTCTGGATTAGAGTTGAAAACGCCTGTCGTGGCCGGTAACACCTTGTGCTCACCACGCCTGTCCAGACCCTGGGATGGTCCCTTCAGATCCTGACTCAGAGGTGTGCCCAGCCTCAGAGCCCTCTCACGAGCACGTCCCCGACCCCTGCCCGGGACTCCTTAACACTCAGCATTTTGTAATTGCTTGTTTCCTGGTTCCTTGTTCACAGAACGAAAGCTCCGTGACACACAGGGCCTGTTTCTGTCCCCACTGTACAGACCCAGGACCTGGCACCACGCCCACCCGACGGCGATGGGATGACGCGCCTCACAGGGTCCCCGCAGGTTATACCTTAAGCTTTACAGGACCCAGTACCAGGGAAGACCGAGCAGTGACTTCCTGTCCCTTCATGGCGAAGAAAAGAGATGGGGAAACTAGAGAGGACGGCAGAGGGAGAAGGAGCTGCCTGTGTCCCCTTGTTCTTTCTCTTAGCCTGTCCTTCCTCCTCTTCCCTTCCGCTTAATCTCATACATGGATTGATCAGGTAGGGTCACGTGTCGGCAAGGAGAACGGAATATTTAGGAGTATGTGAGGAGCTGCTCTAGAGTCCCAGGGAGGAAATACAGCCCCAGATCCAGATAATCACGTTTTCAGTGATTCATCACACAAACTTAGCCATGAGGTTAAATCGAATCGGAGCGATGTCGCAGCTTTCCCCTGCTGGCTGGGAGTTGGTGAGTGGACAACAGGAGCAGAGGCTGGGGGGACACGCGCAGGATGCCCATTTCACAGAGCCACAGAGGGGACGGAGCTGTCCTCATCGAGCCCTACTGGCCACAGCTGTGTGGAGAGTTCTGGACACAGCACTTGAAGCGAGGAACTAAACCCAGTGGGGGAGGGGGTCCGACTCCGTGCAATGGAACCGACCCAGTCTCCGTTTCCCTAACCACGGTATATTCCCATCTCCCCACCTTTATCGTCATCTAACGGTGAAACTATCTAAGTTCCCTTGGTCAGAACTGCATCACCCCTCTAAGACCCAAGGGTCGGCGGGCAGCTGGCGCTCGGTACCTCCATGATCTCGTCGAGTGCACTTTTCTTCTTCTTCTTGTCTTTGGGCTGAGCCGAGCCCTGGGAGGCCTCTTTCCGCTTCACGGACGCTGCGGTCCCGCTCATCGTCAACGCGCTTGGTCCCAGAGAACTGACGCGAAGAAGAGCCATGCTTACTAACCAGACCACGGACAGGCGGTCTGGTTAGTAACAAACAAACAAAAACAAACAAACAAAAACTCGGAGGTAGGCCTTAAATAAACAACATGTAAAATACTAAGTAAAATAGAAAATATCATGCAGCTTCAAACTAAGTTCCAGTATATAATGGTCCCTTCCTGAATATCTTCTTTAATATTTAGGTTTTTAACCTCCTTAACTATACTGCATATTTATTCCCATCACGAATAGTGAATAAATATCTGTACAGCCTGGGGGCCAAATCCAGCCACCTCCTGGTTTTATAAATATGATTTTACTGGAAAAGAGCCATGTTCATCCATTTATGTAGTTATTGCCTATGGTCGCTTTCTCACTCCGACAGCTGAGTTAAACAGTTGGGACAAAGACATATAATATGCCCAACGAGGTCTGAAATATTTACTATGTGGCCCTCTACAGAAAGTCTGTAGAGCCCTTAATCAAAACGGACCTTTCCTCAAAAGATAGAATCTTATATGACAGGCAAAGGAGAAAAAAAACAGCTGCTAAAAAAAAGCCTGCACGCGTGCACACGTGCATGCGCACACACACACATATCAAACAAAAACCAAAAAAAAATTACGACCATCCATCAAACAAAAACCAAAAAAAATTAGGACCAGAAAAAATAATTCACAATACTGCAGCTTTCAAAATGTAATCAACATCCCACAAAAATTCTCTCAAGTTCTCAGCTACCTGTGCACACAGCTCACCTTGACTTGGAAGACGTTGCCGCTGAACTGCATGCTCCTTTATTCAAATTAAATGTAACTGGAAGAGATAAATTGGCACACAATATATTTCAGGAAAATTATAATAAAACTTATCAGATAAGATATAACATATCCACATAGAAATTCTGAAGAAGTGAAAGCCAGAACGCTCCTATCTAGAGATCACAAACTCCTGTAGAATGTACTAGATGGAAGCTTACAGGGCTGGGAAAGACCTTCACATGGCTGGGCTGAAGCAGACAGCCTGGGCCGCCTCCACACTCCAATACCCCTACTCCTTACACTAGCAAGAACCCTACTTTCCTAAGGTGTCCATACCTCTCTCACAGGGCTCAGAGGATGCTCGTTTGAATGTTTGTGGCCCTCCAAATTCCCATTTGAATGAGTTGAAAACCTAATGCCCAAGGTGACGGGACTACAAGGTGGGACCTTTGGCAGGTGATTAGTACGGTTCTTTTGGTCTTGACCAATCAAAACGATCCCATTCCCCTTCGTTGCGACTGTCTTTGATGTGGACACGTGATACGGTCTGGCCAATGACATTCGAAAGGAAGTCTACTGGCAGCAGGAGCATCTTCTAGGAGAGGCTTCCTCGCTCACAGGGGATGCCAAAAGAGATGCTATGTCATTGCCTGGACAGTGCTCGGTGGCTGCAGTGCCGGCGGCCACTGGGTGTCCAGCTGCTGCTAGCGTGGCACCCTGAACCACTGTACTGCGGGGACTCTTGGCTCAACAAGCCGTTTCCTTATTGCCTGAGCAAATTCCAGCCAGTTTGTTCCTTGTAGCTGAGGGCATCACATCCAATTTGTTAGCGCTGCCTTTTCATGTTATCCGTGGGAGCAATGCAATCCAGACAGATTACACGTCCCGCTCCCCAACATGTTGCTAGCTTTCAGCAGAACCGACACAAAAACATCCATATTAAAAAGAAATAAAAAAGTGAAATTACCTTTTTCTTCATCATTTTCTCTGCTTAATTCCGTAAAAACAGGGGCCTCCTTAGGGGGGAAAAAGTTGGAAGGTTTGGTCCACAGTGCATTCACCATCAATACTCAATACTCCTAAATTGGGACTCGCTACCCGTGTTGACGACAGCGCCGAGGGCCAACTCTAGAATGATTATGGCCCTAATGGAGAAATTATATGTATTGCGAATATTCTCCAATTGAGATTTTATAGGGTTTTTAAACCTTTTGTTCACTGCTGTGTCCCCCGTGCCTAGACAAGCGCCTGGCACACAGGAGGCACCCAATAAATACATATTGAAATAAATGCCTTGATCTGTTATTCTAACCCCCGAACTACCACTGTGCCCTCCTTCCTCCATTTACCCAGGTTTTGCCCGTGAATTCTTCAAGACTCCTCGACCCACGGGTGGTATCTACCGTCAAATACTTCACTTCCTCCCCAGGCTGGAGCAGGTGCCAGCCCACGACCTGCCCACACCATCCCTCCCCAGCACCGCACTAACCGAGACCAGGAGAAACGACCTGCTGTTTCTTCTCGTTAAGCTTTGCCTCTTTTCAGGATAAGGAAACAGGCTTAGAGGACAGAACAACACCAGATCGTGACACCCCTATGTCAGGAACCAACCCAGCTTTGTCTCAGCTCCAAAACCTGGGCTTTTCCACTCGGCCATGCTCTTGCTCCACTTACTTAGGGGACTTTGCTACAAAACTCAATTCGAAGCCTAAACAAACAAGCAGTTTTGCTTCTTTGAGCTCTTTTTTGACCGCGTCTCTCAAGCATATTGTTGCCCACCTGTTCTTTCCCTTCCAGACCTCTTCTCACTTGTTCTTCAATAAATTTGGCGGTTTTTTCTTCATCATCAAGGTCCTGCTTCTTCTTTTTCTCTAGTTCTAGCTGGCGCCGGATAGTCTCTGGGTCCCTGTCTATATACTGAATGTACCAGCCTTTCGGTGTCTCGTCCACTTTGCACAAGCCTGAAAACAATGACAACGGACACCATAAATCTGTATATGCTCAAAGCCAAAGGTAAACATGAATGTGTCCTATCTCTGTGTTATTTACTCATTCATTCAAATACATTTGTGCAGTACATGAATTTTCCATATTCATAGTTAATGAGATTTAGGTATTTTAAGTGGAATATTTTATCTCTTTGAAAAAAAAATTATTACTCTGATTTTTGACTAGCTAGGTTGAGGCAACATATTTAGAAAAGGAAAACACGTGAAAGAAGTATTGTCTTGCTTAGTAATTATTCAAGTCTGTCTGAGAATTTAACATTCGATGACTACATGATATTCTGCTAACTTAACTAAGTAGAAATTATTCTACTAAAATGGAACAAACCAACACACTGAATAAGTAATACACTAACACAAAATTTCTCTCTTTCCTCTCTCCAACTTTTCATCCTAAGATTAAAAATGGGAAAAGAAGTGATCAATTAAAAAAATCTCCTGAAGAGGGGATAACAAGTTTCCTAAAGTGAAATAAATATGGGGCGGGAGGCGGGGAATAGGACTGATAATAACGCTTGACCTAAATGAGAGGATGCTTTGGCGAGAAATCTTGACACTGTCAACGGAACCACTGCAGATGTTCGTTCGTACTCAGCTGTAACACACAAAATCAAGCCTGGAATGCCACGCTCCCCCCACGGTTTTTAATTGCCCATCCATCCTTTTTTGCATAAATTTACATAGTAACCATGACAACTCTTTCCTCCCTGCCATGGGACCACATGACCGCTATTCAGATAGGTCTCATGCTCACCTTCTCTGCCCAGCCACTTAGTAAAATCGGTCAGGGTCTCCCACTGGGTGGCATTCATGTGGATGTGCTCCCGGTGGCTGATATACTCATTGTAAACAATGTTGTTGTGGACTCTCTTAGTGCCTAAGGACAAAATGTGACACTGTTGATCCTGAGCAGGTTATACGGTTATGAAGTTATTCTGTGCATAACCCTTCAGATGCTTACCAAAGCGTCTCCTGAGAAGTTCTAGAAAGTCATTTCGGAATTCTCTAAGAAAGAAAGAAAGGCAAGCATTAAGGGAACGTCTACAAATGTATAGCACTGTCTTCCTGAAATTTAAGTCATCTTACAGTTTGGATTCTCAAATAATATTGAAATACCTATTTGAAAATCTGTTACGAATCTTTAAACACTGAACAAGGAAAGAATCTCAAAAGATTATAGCTTTCAAGAATTAAGGTTAACAGTCAGTTTGAAGTTGAAACTTTTTATCTTGGCAAATCAGTATTGCAAAAGTGACTACGCATCTTTTAAGAGGGTCCTTCATGAAGTCTCAGAGCTACTGACTGCAGCAATAATAACCCCATTCTATTGAAAATAACAACACTGCCCTTATTCTGCAAGAAACTGTCATCCGGTGTATCCCTATGAAGTGAGGACACTGTTAACTGCTAGATAAACAGAGATGACTAAAACATAAATCCTGACTTAGATTATAATCTAGCAGAATCTGTCATAACAGAAGTCAATTGAAAAAAGAGGTAATGAAATATCATAGAGATGATGGTGAACCATTGAGGTCTTTAACATATACGAGTGATGAAGTAAAAATAGGTCTTTTACAGGTGAAGAGGAAGAGAAGGCCATTCCCAGCTGGCAGAGACAGGAAAGCTTCAGATGTCTGAGGAATGACCCTCTAATTTGGCTGACGTTGAGGGCAGATGAAAATGAGCGTGAGAATGGGGGTAGGACAGAAAAACCGGGCGAAGATGTAGCTGGAAAATAAGTTGGGGCTAAGTTTTGAAGTGCCTTGAAGTCACGCTAAAGAGGTTGGGTTTTATCGAGACAATGGAAAAACATGAAATAATTTATTTAGGAGTTAATTAGTGAAAATTTGTGATTTCCAAAGATAATCCTGGTGGACAGTAGACGACGATGATTCTCAAAGTGTGGTAAGTCATTCACCCAAAGTCACACAGCTCGTGCGTGCAGAAGCCCTGATGCGAAGGATTCCAGGTCAGGCAGTGTGACTGCAGAGCTATGCTCTCGGCTACGTCACTTTTAGAATGAAAGGTAGTTTCATTTGTTTGAAGTGAAAGGAAAGAGGCTGAATTGCCTCTCTTTTTTTAACGAATTTTTTTAACAATTTTTTTTAACATTTTTTTTTTAACAATTTCATACTATGATAAACTGTCAAAGAGGGACAAAAATTGAGCACAAAGATGATATAGCTATCATGTTAATATGTAAGGAATAAACAGAGCCTCCAAGATATAAAATGTTAAGCTTCTATGAAATGTCTGACTGAATGAAGCTTATGAGATAAGGGTGTCTTTGAGTTACTTACTCTGAAAAATAATCCATAAACTGCTGAGGATTTTCCGAGGCCAGCAATAGTTGTCTCTGATGAGATTCGGACATACAATGACACTTAAAGCCATTCTACAAAAATGTAAAGGTAATAGTTAAATTCTGATTTAGCTCATCATAATGGGCCCTAAGTAGAAGTATTATTTAAACCCTAAAAAGCTGCTCTTTGATAATAAATTGTAAAAAATAATCACACTAGCTGTAAGCACCCTATCATCTAAAAAACAATTTTTTTTTTTTACAAAGTTGAGTTTAGCAACCCTGCTAATCAAAGAGTAATCCCAGGGGGTAAAGAGACAGAAAAATAGTGCTTTAGAAAACAGACATCATTAAGAAGCAGTATAGGGCACAGTAACAGAAGTGATTGTGTTTTTGACTCAATTTAACAAATTCTTGTTGAGTTCTTACTTCGTACAGAGTTATACAAGCACTTTGAGAAATATAGTGAAGTGAAATAGGTCATGAGTGATTTCCATTAAGGAATGGAAATGATTCTTTGCTGGTTCTCCTCAACCTTAGCTCATTACCTAAAACACATTATTGCATATTACATAAAGGTTACGTTAAACAGACTGAATCTGTATCTTCTTCAGATGATTGTGAAAAACATACGAGTTTGACTTGGTACCTGTTCTACTTAACATGGAAGCTGGTTCTTCACGAGTAACAATGAGCAATGGGCCTTGCTCCTGATTCATCTTGGCGAACAGCACTGTCGCACGCCCAGTCACTCAAGCCGGGACCGAGGGCGGCGTCCTAGTGTCCTCCTCCTTCGCCCTATGTTCCACTCATCACTGCGTCTCCTCGGCCTCCTTAATAACTCTTATCCAGTCCCGCTGCTCAATCCCAATGCCACTGTCCTGCTTTCAACACTGGGTCTCACCTGGGGTGGTTTCCGCACCTCTGGTCACCCACAGACCACCTAAACGACCCTTGCTCATCTGTGTACTTGGTAACAGTCTCATGAAGAACCAGTCCATTTTCTCTAAATTAAAAATAAGTCAGTAAAATGAAAACAAAACAATGTTATTAAATCCTAGAAAGCCAAGGGAGTAGGAGAGCAGGAGGGGAATACTCTAGATCGACCTTTCTCCCCGCAGATCTTCCAATATTGAGAGACAAAAGACAGAGGAGGGAACTTATAGGGGTCAACTTCTCCTCCCCCAGGTTGTCTGCTCAGGTAGGGAAGGGCAATGAACAGATCTGGGGGCAAAAAGGTCAGACCACTGCAAATGCCTTGAAGGAAAGAAGTAAGCATTTATCTTTCTTTTCCCATAGGGACTATATTTCAGGATGGTATTTGAGGACAATCCAATAGCCCTAACTGATGAGAAAAAGCACATTTTTACAAATGAACGGATGCCAATAATAAATGTCAAAAGAATTAAAAAAAAAAAAATAACCACTTTGCAACTCCTAATGAAATAACTGACTCAGGCAAGGATGCTAAAACACGTAGGTAAAAGGTTGATGGGAAACTAGATATATGGCCATGATTCCAAAGTATCACCCCATTAGTTACTTGCTCTTGCAAGAGGGAAAATACTACTTTCTAACATTACAGGCTGTCACTTTTATTCAATAATCTTAGCACTAGTAGACGTATGGGCTCCCTTATGTGATACAATATGAAATACACTGGACCGCCTATGAAATGTAAACATTCCTCAAAATGTTTAACCTGAACCTAATCGAGCCTTTAGCTCTAAGTTCCAGTTTATGGAAACTACAAGAGTTAGAGAAAGAAGGCAAAAGACAATCACAAGGAAATAATTCAACATATCCACAAAGTGGAAATGCTCCAAGATAACCGACTGACCTCTTCCAATCAGTGTCAAGAAAAATGTTGGGGAGTGGGGAGCTGGCGGGGCGGGGGAGGGGACAATGGAGACAATAAAAAAGATTAGTGGTTGGGACAGGGTGTCTTAATAACCCAGAGCACAGAGATTTTTAGGGCAGTGAAACTACTCCATATGATACTATAAAGGTGGACACAGGTCCTTATATACATTTGTCCAAAACCTAAGAATGAATAACACCCAAAGAGAACCCTAGTGTCAACTACGGACTCTGGTGATGATGACGTGTCAGTGTGATTGACTGTAACAGATGTAAAGCTCTGCTGCAGGATGCTGATAGAGGGGGAAGCTGCACATATGTGGGGGCAGGGGTATAGATGGCAAATCTCTGTATCTTCCACTCATTTTTGCTGTGAATCTAAAACTGCTCAAAAAAATAAAGTCTATTTTTTAAAAAGCCCTAATTTATAGCTTTTGATTGGATCTTGGTTTTTAAAAAACTGCTTTATAAAGCATTTGGGGGAACAGCCTAGGAAATGTCGAGTGTGGAATATGTATCAGATGACATAAAGGAATTTTTATTCATTTTGTTATGTGTGATGACATATATTGTGGCTCTGTAGAAAAATATCCTGATATTTTAGAAATGCATATCTAAGTATTTAGAGGTGAAATATCCTGATGTTTATAATTTGAAATATTTCAGAAAAAAGTAAATATGGCAAAATGCTTGAAATGTTAAATGCATAATAGATATACGGATGCTCATTGTACTTGTCTCTAGTTTTCTGTCTGAGAATTTCATCTGGACTTAAATAGAACTAAAGAGAAATGAAAGAGAATAACCATATCAATGTTATTCGATGTGAGTCCCACCTAAAACATCAAATCTCTCACAGAAACAGTGGATGAGATGATTCCAATTGCCCAGTATTCTTCTGTCCTTATTCAATTTAATCTCCGGAGAAAAATATGATCATCTCACACTACTAGCCTGCTGCTCTCAATGTCTCAAGGCTCTTCCGCCATCCACCTCATAAATGGGAAACGGTGTAACATCCACAACGCAGCATAAATTTCAAGATCTGCCCGATGACCCCGTGTCGCTTTACACATAATTCATTTAAAACCCACAACGACCTTACAAGGAGGTACAGTTACTGTTCCCACTTTACAGACAAGTACCCGGGCAGAGAGAATGCAGCCTGCCCAAGCCCAAACAGCTGGCAGGTGGCGCGGCTTCCTAATTCTGACAGTCCGACTCGAGTTCACTCGTTAACAATAACATCCTGGCCCTGGCCCATTGTTGGTGCCCAATAAATGATCGTTAGACGAGGCGTGTGCAAGAGCTTATTTCTCCTTTTTCATCTGGTCCCGAAAAGAGGTGTGAATCCTAATCCTCCGGTTTCTCCTAAGTCATGTCAGGTCAGAGGTGATGGTTACTGCCCAGGCGCCCGGCACTTAACTACTCAGGCCTCCGTCTCATGGCAACTTGAATAGGACCGCTTCCACTAGAACTGCAAAACCTTTTGTTTCATTTCTTTTGGGGGGGCAAATTGGGGAGGAAAGAGGCGTCAAAGAGCACTGGTCCCCCACTAGGATTGGGGCTGCGGAGAGGGATGTCCCTCCTGCGCTGAGCAGCGGACTCACCCAGTGCAGATCCCCTGCCTGACTGGGGACCTGAGATCCGCGCCTTCAGCCCAGCATCAGGGACTTGAGCCTGGACTGCAAGCCGGACCCCGCAGGGGAGAGGCCGAGGCACGGGCATGGGGCCACCCGGGCCCGCTTACCTCGTCGCGGCACTGCTTCTGGCACATCTGGCAATACCAGCGCAGCTTCTGAAGCCCTTTGGATTTGATCCTGTTGGCGATAGCCTTGGGGGTGAGAAAATCTGACTTGCCCATCGCGACCGCCAAAGCGATCACTTCTCTGAGCTCAGTGCTCCGCCGACCGGAAGCGGAACGCGGCTGACGGGGTGGGCGGGGCAAATGCCAGCTGCGAGCCGGAAGGAGGTGGAGCTTCGGAAGGCCGAGCCTCCAATTCTCGCGACATTTACCTCTGTCTGGTGGCAGGAAGCGAGACTGGGGATGAAAGTGGGGTGGGAGGGGGCGGGGGGAGTCGGCTGCGCACGCGCGGTGAGGCCCGACTGGGCGACCTTCAGCGGGGCCGGTAGCACCATGTTTTCTCGGGCGGGCGTCGTTGGGGTCTCGGCCTGGGCCGTGCAGCCGCAATGGTATGGCAGCTTGCGGTCGGGACGGGAGCGCTGCGAGGGACGGAGGAGTTCAGTTAGGGGGAAGAGGAGGCGGGTGGAGGCGACTGAGACGAACCGGGGTC